GAAGGGCAAATAATTGTAAAGCAGACCACCACTCGAATAAATTAAATGCTTCGGATAGAACGAGGTAATCATTTCAGAATTAATATGAATTTGAACTTCAAATTTTTGTGTGACAGATCTGCAAGCAGTCTAACTTACCTGGTAGACCAATTGGTCCACTGGTTGCGTGGCTTTTACTTCAAAGTTGATCATGTCACCAGCCTGGAATCACAAGGAAAACATGGCAGAGTTGTAGGTATTGTTTTGCTTTCGGTTTCTATCTAGCTATCAATATGACATATCATGTTATATGAGTGAGATATAGCGTGTGTGTGTGTGTGTGTGTGTGTGTGTGTGTGTGTGTGTGTGTGTGTGTGTGTGTGTGTGTGTGTGTGTGTGTGTGTGTGTGTGTGTGTGTGTGTGTGTGTGTGTGTCTGTCTGTGTGCACGTATATGTATAAGTGGTGTATATGTGTAAGCGTGCGCAGGGGTGAGTGACTGCGTCTGCATTTATGTGTCTGTGCGTACGTGTCTGAGAGTATCTACATGTATTTGTGTACGCGTGTGTGTATGCATGTTTGTGTGTACGTGGGTGTCAAGGAATAAGTGTGAGAGCGTGTATGTATGTAAGGATGCGTGTGTTTATAACTTAAAAGGTTTACGGACGTATAGGTTTTGCACAAGGGCAAATTTTTTTGTTTTTGGGTCGTGGTCCCATTATTATGCAAATTACGTCATCAGGTTATTAAAACGAGATACACTTAATTTATTAGTTATTTACATCAGGTTTTAGTTGTTTTTTTTGTTTTGTTTGAGCTGGCTTGTTTGTTTGTTTGTTTGTTTGTTTGTTTGTTTGCTGTTGTCTTGTTTAATTTTTGGGCAGGGATTTTAATTCTTAGTTCCTTTTTCGATTAAAGACTGGAAGGTTATTCAACAGTGTAATCAACGATCATGCACTTGGTTTTCTGAGCACAATAATTTGTCAACAGTTGATAATATCTTATTTTCCCTATTTTCCTCCGACCTGTTACGTCACGATGTGGCAACTGTCTATCTCGTCCAGTAGCGGAACCTTTTAAAAATATTTTTTTAGGCACCGATAAAAGCCAAAGTATGGCGACAATGATTACACTGGTTTACAAGGAATTTACTTCTGGCTTAAAACTAGTTGATATTTACAAATATGAGGGCGCTGAATTCGAAAATGATACTCCAGTTTTTTTAAAAGGTAAAGTTTCATGTCGTTTATTCTTATGTTATATGATGAAAAAGGCAAAGGGCACTTGGGATCAGTAATGTTAAACTGCAAATAAGTTTTAGTTGCATGATGCAGTTTTATGGAAGTGGCATAAGTTTCTAAGTAGTATGAAACAATATCTTCCCATGTCGCTTTCTTTGTGATCCTTTACTTTTTGTTCAGCAACCACGGTGTTTCAGAACCAGCAGCAGATCATTTTAATCTACGTCAACAGTCATTATGTTTCATCACTGTGTATACAATCCTAGAAATTTCTGATAAATTTGCGGCGAAATGAAGCATACTGCACAAAGAAGAACGATATCAAACTTAAAAAGGTCTTTCACCTAATTTTACATGCGAAGTTGGTGACCAAGACAAAAGTTGGAACTCCCCCCGTAGTTTGCAAGACCAGTGTCACAATAAACTATCGCCAGTGGTTGCAAACGAAAAAAAAATCAGTGCCCATCTGGAATGTCTGTGGTTTGACGTGAATTGGGAAATCATTCAGGTGACTTCTACTTTTGTATTGTGCAACAGGATAGAATAGACTTACAGGAAATTGTGATTTCATTTGAGTGGCTAAAGATATACGAACTTAACAATGTGTATGTATGTACATGTGTGTGTGTGTGTGTGTGTGTGTGTGTGTGTGTGTGTGTGTGTGTGTGTATGTGTGCGTGTGTCTATGTGTGCTTCAGAGGACAAGCTATGTGACTCACCTGAATAGCTCCTGAGGACTTGAGGCTCATCTGGATATAAGATGAGCTGGGGGAGTAACTCTTCTTTAGTTTCAACTGTTCCTGGATGACATTGTACTTGGCCTGGAAAGTGAAAGAACAGCGTCGTTATTTTGAACAGCTTTTATTGGTCAAGTGATTTGTTTCCAGCTTGCCTAGTGATTTCTTCTTACAGGCCCAGTGATTGTTTCCTTGCACTCCCAGTGAACATGTTTGTTCAATAAAAGCCAGAGACATCGGTCCAAGCAATAGTTGGGGACAGTTGTCGCGAATGGATCGAAAAGGATGTGACATTGTTTGACTTTGACATGTGTGTACAGATAAATAAACAATGATTGAGATTCTCTAAAGAGTCTAATTAAACAATTGATGAGCTCCTCTATAAATTCTAGAAAAACAATTATGAAGTAATTAAAAGAGGAAACAAGGAGGAGTAGGAGGATCAAGATCCAATGGTAGTTAGACTGCCCAAGGTAAAATTTTAGTTGGCCCTACTGGGAGAATGACCGCCACTCCAGTACTGTCCAGTTCAGCAAAAGCCAGGGATGATTGAAAGTCCAAAAGGTTGAAAGTTCAGAATTACATTGACACACGACTGATAAAATATACGTTCTTCTGTATACTATGATTTATTTAAAGTAAGTTTTCATTTAAATTTATCGATTGTATTAAACGACTGCTGACTTTTGAAACGTCATGTTCTCATGGTAGGTTGAAGGAACAATTGGTACTTCTTTGCCGTAAATATGCTGCGCCTGTCTGAATTGCTAGGTGACTCACTTTACATACTATAGTGCGGTAAAAACTTAATTTCTATAAAATTCCTTAATAAATACAAATGAAAATACAAGTGAATAGTTTCTACAGATTTCAAAAGGTTTACAGCTGAGGCAATATCGCTTTTAAAAGCATGTCTTTCATTTTTTTCTAATCGCGATATTATGCTTATATTGAATGGGTGTTTTGAGATCCTTTATTGCAAAATAATTGTGTTCACAATAAAATTAATTTCTTGTAACAAGTTTTGCAATAAAAAGAGTCAATGGTGAGTTGTGACTTTAGCGTAAGTAAACTGCGTGAGAAGCGGGAAGTGCTGTGAACAATCCCATTTTTCGCGTGACAGAGATTTATAATATTTTATCTTAATTTATGAAGACAAGTTTTTAATCTAGCTTCAATTATAGTGAAAATATATGGTTAAACTAAGACAAATTGATATATGTGCAAAGTATGGGTGACTTTTATTCACCCGTTAAAGAGATATTTGAGGATAAGTGCGCCACGAATGTTTGATCGCACTATAAAACAAGAACGAAATACTGTCACTAAAAGCTCACATTACTCAGCACGCACAGCTCGTAAGCATTATGGTTTATTGCAACGAATACGTATACAATAAATCAAAGAGCCATTCTCTGTCTCAGAGACATTCCCACATATTACGATGACAAAGACACTGAATTATACAACAGTAACACTGAATCATAGGACAATAACACTAAATCATACAGGTGTTACTTCATGTGATACTGGCGCAAATAAAAATGCACTGAGGCAAAGACAATGGAGCACTCCAACTGCTTATGTAGGAGTGCGGGTCTCTCGTGGACTAAAGGTTAAGGTGTTCACCTCTCATTCAAAGGTCCCGGGTTCGAATCCGGGTAGCGACCGAAAAATTTGCTTCTCTCAAATTGTCTCCTTTCACCCCCTTTCCTGATCTCTAACAAAGTTCTGTCGTCTGCTTTCGTCTCCACTTTCTGCCCCCACCCCCCTCACCTTCTTTTCCCCCTCCTATGGGGTTCTGACTCTTTCTGCAGCCTTTCTACTGTTTCTACTTGGCTCCTTCTTACTGCTGTCTTTCAGCCACACACCTGTTCTTCTGGTAGGAAAGATCAACTCCTAGCCTTCTCGGACAAGAGTAAAAAATCTTGGAGGTCTAGTTTGCAAGTTGCGCACGTTAAAGATCCCTTAGTGGTCTAAAATCGATAAGAGTAGGGTTCGGTCGCCACCCGGGCAAAATTCAAAATGTCCTGCCTACTGGAAATGTTTAATGTGTTCCGCGCGCTCATATGACCTTATGCAGTTTCAAGCGCCGTGAAACACACCCACAAAAAAAATTAAAAAATAAAGTAGGAGTGCGCCATATAAAGTAGTCCCTGTGCGTGCTGGTAACACACATTTCTTTGGCTACTTTGATGGCGTCTACAACATCGACTACAATAGCAAGTCACTGACCCTGACACGTGGTGTCCTCCAACTGTTCTTCTTACAGTAAGAAGGCAATGGTGATCCAGGGATGTGTGTGTGTGTG